GAGGAGGAGGAGGAGGGTGGGGAGGAGGGAGAAGGAGGAGGAGGAGGAGCAGGAGGATGAGGCGGAGCAGGAGGAGGAGGAGAAGAGGAGGGGGAGGCCGAGCAGGGGACGTAACTAGCTAGGAAGAAGTGGGAGGGAGCCAGCTCCAGCGCAGCGGGGACCGGCCCCTCGGAGATGTCGCTTGGCGCGCGTTTTGGCAGGGCTGGAAGGCTTCGCGCGGACGGCCCCCAGATCCCACGTGGGCCTGGCGACTCTGCCCGCCTGCGAGACTGGGGCTCACAGTCCGGATCCATTTCGCTCCGATCGATATCGATTCGGTATCGATTCCGGCTGGCCCGATCCGATTCTGTTCAGGCTTGCGACGATCCGATGCGACCAGATGCTTGCGTGGGCGCCGCTGTGATCAGTGCCGACGCAGAGGACGAGGAGGAGGAGGAGGATGAGGAGGTGACGAAGAGGGGGTGAAGGACGAGGAGGTGGAGTCGGAGACGGACGACGACGACAAGGATGAGTCGGAGGATGAGCAGGAGGAAGAGGAGGAAAAGGAGGAGGAGGGGGAGGAGGAGGAGTAGGAGGGGACGGAGGATGGGAAGGGCAACGTCCATGAAGCGGGGGATGAGCTGGAGGGAGGTGACGAGAGGGAGGGGAGGGAGGATGCTGATGACGACGACTAAGGTAAGCAGGAGCAGGATCCTCCTCCCGCCCGCCTCCCCCCCCCGGGTCCTGGATCGATGTTTGATGGTCGTGAGCCTGGGACGGGATCCTCGACCTCCCTGCCGCTGCGCCCACCTCGCTGAATCGACCCCCTCTTCGATCCTTCTCCTCAAGCCCACCTCCCTGGATCGCCTCGATTCTCGATCCTCGAAAAAGTTCTCCTCGACCCTGAAAGAGGAGACCATATCTATACTGAAAGCCAATCCCCGATCCTCAAAAAGTTCATCGAGACCCTCGATCCCCAGAACAAGATGCCCGATCACCAGCACAAAGGTCTTTGATTCCCGAACATGATTTTCAATCCTCTGAACTATCCGCCCTCCTCCTGCACCCTTCCCCTTGTTTATGCTGAGAGTGAGAGTGGGCCTTTGCCGGAGTGACCTTTGGTGCGGGCCCACAGGGGTCCTTGCAGCACTGGCCTGCGCACTTGGTGTTGCCCCGCAGCGGCCCTCTGACGCCGCCCACCCAAGATCACTCCCGCGTAAGGTCAGCCGTGCGTGTAGCCGATGGATCGCCCCCCCCCCCCCCTCCCTTGGATCTCCTCGATCCTCGAACGAACAAGTACCCTCGACCTTCGAGAACGATCATCGCACAATACGTTCGACCCTCTGTCTCAGAGCAATGCGTTCTTCCCTCTAGCAGTATCGCCAGCCAAGATCATCGACCCTCGGAAAACGTAAAGTCGACCAGGTGTTGCCAAGAGCGTCCCTGGCCCAACGTGCCCCCAGGAGTCCCGAGGCCCCCACGGCCTCCAGAGAGGACCCCTCACGAGGCCTGGAATGCCCAAACGTTCCAACATGGCACCACAAGGTGGAGTGGCCAGGACCACCTCTGGACATCTACTCGGGTGCAGCTCTCAGGAGGCTTAAATTCGGTATCGGCGCTGGTATATCCGCTGTCGAACAGTGTCCTACTCCGGCTTACTGTTGTGGCAATCTGGTTCATTCCCGTGCATTCTGGTTTAATATTGAATTTCATGTGACCTCATTTGGCTCAATGGCCCCTTGAGCGGGTATCCCTTACTCGTTCTCGCAAAGCTTCCTAGGAGGTGCCTCCTAATACCTCCGTCTTGATCCCCCTGCCGCCCCCCCTCTCCCCTGGATCGCCTCGACCCCCGGTCATCGAGCAAACCATGAGTTTCGAAAAAGATCATCGACCCTCGAATATAATCTGTCCTCGACCCGCGAAATAGGGATCTTCAAGCTTCGAGCAATATGTATTTTGATCTTCGGCGACAGAAACCCCCGAAAAGGGCCTTTGATCCGCGACCCCCACCCCCCCACAACGAAAAGGTCCTGGGCCCTCGAAAGAAGTCTCCATTCCTCTCCTCCCATCCCCTCCGTCCCCTGAATACGGCCACGCGAGCGAGTGACCCTTTGCTTGAGAGACCTTGAGTTCAGGAGGGAAAAACACACAGACACAATTAATCATCGATTCTCCATAAAATATGGGAAAATACGGGAAGTGGGGGGAAGACACTAACCCAGAACATATGGGAAACTATGGGGGAATCCTGTTATTTGTGTCTATTTATTTGTGTATCCCAGGGCCCCTTCATTGGTGCGGCCCACATGGGTTTCTGCAGCACTGGCCCGCGCTCCTGAAATTCGGCCTTTGCCGCGGCCCCCCTCAAGCCGCGCACCCAAGGTCCTTCAAGCCTGGGGTCAGCCATGCGAGCAGCCGATGGATCGCCCCCCTCCCTTGGATCACCTGGATCCTCGAACAAATACCCTCGACCCTCGAGAACGATCGACGAGCAAAACCGTCGCTCCTCGAAACATGTGTTGGCTGGGTGTTGCAAAAGTTCTTCCTGACCCCCAGGATTCCCGAGGAGGCCTTCATGGCACGGCCTCCAGAGCACCCCTCACGAGGCCCGGAGGGCCCAAGAGTTCCAAAATGGCACCACAAGGTGGAGGCACCTTTGGCCAGGACCACCTCTGGCAATCTACTCGGGTGCAACTCTCAGGAGCTTGAATTAGGTATCGGGAGTGATGTATGCGCGTTTGGAGAGCGTCCAATTCCAGCCAAATCTTTGTTAATCCGGGGCGCGAGGCCAACTTCCGAGGAGTTCCCACGAAGACCTCCGAGGAGTTGCCTTCTAACACCTCCGACTCGATCCCCCTCGATCCTCATCCCGCCCCCTCCCTGGATCGCCAGCCTTTCCCTGGATCACTTCGATCTTTGAAAGATACATTCTCGCTTCCCGTCCCTCGAGAATCAGAGTGAGGGGGCTGAACCGAACTGTCATTCACTGTCCCTGGGTGCGTGGCTGAAGTGGAATTCCGCGATGGGGATTCTCGTTGTTGTTGTGATAGTTGTGATTGTTGTGATTGTTATGTTTGTTGTTGTTGATGATGTTACTGATGTTATTGTTGTTGTTGTTGTTGGTATTGGTGTTGGTGTTGTTGTTGTTGATGTTGTGTTTGTTGTTTGTTGTTTGTTGTTTGTTGTTGTCGTCGTCCCACCCGCGACCCGCCCCGCGACCCACCCGCGACCCACCCCGCGACCCAGCCGCGACCCACCCGCGACCCACCCCCACCCGCGACCGACCCCGCGACCCACCCGCGACCCACCCGAGACTCACCCGCGACCCGCCCGCGGCCCGCCCGGCGACCCACCCGCGGCGACCCACCTGCGACCCACCCGCGACCCACCCCGCGACCCGCTCGCGACCCGCCCGCGACCCACCCGCGACCCACCGCGACCCACCCGCGACCCACCCGCGACCCACCCCGCGACCCACCCAAAATTTTCGGCGCCTGCGGCGAGTTTCTTCTGCATGCGTTCCAGGTGGAGAACCTGCGACCCACCCGCGACCCAAACCGCGCCCGCGACCCACCCGCGACCCACCCCGCGACCCACCCACAATTCTCGGCGCCCGCGGCGGGCTTCTGTTGCATTCGTTACCAGTGGAGAACCTGCGACCCACCCGCGACCCAAACCGCGTTCAGTGTACAAATCAAAATGTTCGGGGCCTGCGGCGGGCTGTTTTTCCTTACCTAGGCTCTGCCCAGAAGGGTTCTTACTTCATAAGCTTAAAGGGGCCGGGCAGTGGAACTCGCCCCGGGCGGTTCCCCCAGTATCCGCCCCGCGGTTCCCCCAGCTACGTCCCCTTAGCTTAGCGTTGCTTATCTCATCTTAGCTTAGCTTATTTCATCTTAGATTAGCTTAGCTTCATCTTAGCTCAGGCTCATCTTAACTTAGCTTACCTTCATCTTAGCTTCGCCGAGCCTTAGCAGAGCACAGCATAGCAGAGCGTAGCATAGCATAGCGCAGCACAGCATATCATAGCATAGCCCAGCATGGCATAGCATAGCGCAGCATAGCATAGCATAGCATAGCATAGCATAGCGCAAGTTTTTGGCGAGTATGCATAGCATATCATAGCCCATAGCGCATAGCATAGCATAGAGTAACATAGCATAGCCAATCATAGCATAGCATAGCATAGCATAGCATAGCGCAGCATAGCATCTCATAACATATCAAATCATATCATAGCATATCATAGCGCAGCTTAGCATAGCATAACATAACATAGCATAGCTTAGCATAGCACAGCGCATCATGACATAGCATAGCTCAGCATATCATAGCATAGGATAGCCTATCATAGCGCAGCATATCATAACATAGCATAGCATAGCACATCATAGCATATCATAGCGCAACATAGCATGGTATAGCATAGCATAGCATAGCATAGCAACTAATGCTGCTTTCCTAGGGGCTCCAAGTTCTAGGTAGGGTCGCACTGGGGTAATTGAATTCCTTCCAGGTGGAACTGGAGAGCCCGCGACCCACCCGCGACCCAAACTACGTTCACTGAACAAGCCAAAACTTCGGCGCCTGCGGCGGGTTTCTTTTGCATTTGTTCCAGGTGGAGAACCTGGAACCCCAACCGCGTTCAGTGTACAAATCAAAATGTTCGGCGCCTGCGGCGGGCTGTTTTTGAATTCCTTCCACTCCCGCGCCCGCGTCGCCCGCGCCCGCCCCCTCACTCTTATCCACAATTGCGGGGTGCTACGTATGCTCGACCCTCGAAAGGAAGCTCCTCGATCCACCTTTCATCTCCCAGAACCTTGAAGCCACGATTTTCTCACGACCTCGACCCCCAGAGGCCTCGACCCAATCCCCAGGAGTGGGTTTGTTCACCCCGAGGCCGAAGGTAGCAACAAAGTGAGGGTCTATGGGTCTCATCCCCCCCTCCCTTGGGGCCGCCTCCCCGCCGCCCTCCCCATCGCGCGCGCGGGGCCCGCTGGCCGGCGCCTGTCCTCCCTGCCCAGGGCTCCGTGCGCGGAGCCCGGCGACGGCGAGGCCGCATCTCGCGAGGGCTTGGGCCCGCCAGCTCCGCTAGAGGAGCGGTGCTTCTCCTTCTCCTCCTCCTCCTCCTCCTCTTCCTCCTCTTCCTCCTCCTCCTCCTTCTCCTCCTCCTCCTCCTCCTCCTCCTCCTCCTCTTCGTTTACAAGCCAGCGAGCCTCTCTCACGGGGCCACCTCGGAGCACACCCTTGAAGCTTCGAGATATGCCCCCTGCCGGCCCTAGTGAGAAGTCAGGGCTGTTGCACAACCAAATCTCAGGGGATTTTGCAGACGCGCACAAGGCACCAGTATAGGTGTGTTGACGTTGACCCCCTTGTGCGGATGTCCTGTCCTGTCCTCTTCCTCGTGGTTCTCCTCCTCTTTCCGCCAGAGCGCCCCGTGGCGCCAGCGATGCCCTCGAAGCGACCACAGCTGGGCCATACTGGCTGATAAGGAGGTCTGGGGGAGGGGGAAGAACCAGCTGCTGGCAACTGCGATGGATGTGAAGATGACGATGTAAGTGTCGATCGGTCGATCGATCTCACGATCGATCGAACTATCGATCTGACTACCGATGTCACCACACCTCTGTCTTTATCGATCTCACGACCGATCTCGCTATCGATCGGGACACCATCGGGACACACGGCGGGATACCGCGGGACACCACTGGACACCACGGAACACCGCGGAACACCACTGGAATACCTCGGGACACTACGTGATACCACAGGACACCACGAGACACCATCGGAACACAACGGCGGGACACCACGGGACACCATCAGGACAACGCGGGACACCACAGCGGGACACAACCAGCCACCGCGCGTCCACAGAGGGCCAGACTTCTGCATTCGAATCGCTGGCGACGGCGGGATCATCCCTCTCCCGCGCCCACGGCGAGACGCCGCCTAAAACCATCGGGACACCGCGAGACACCACGGCGGGACACCCCCAGCCACCGCGAGCCCACATGAGGGCCAGACTTTTGCATTCGAATGGCCCTATCGACGGCGGGATCATCCCTCGCGCGCGCCCACGAAGCTTCGCTTCGCCCGCACGCACGACACGAACACGAAACCGAAACTGATTTCCCGTTGGGGGGCTCCGTAACCCGCCGACATGCATGATTCACCTCGTCCGCCTCCTTCTTTTCCTGATGGTTTTGGCGTTGAGCGTGTTCCCGATCATGCTCCTCATCCTGTGTCGAGGCTGTCGGGTTCCTCGTGTTTCCCTGCTCCTCCTCCTCCTCCTCCTCCTCCTCCTCCTCCTCCTCCTCCTCCTCCTCCTCCCCCTCCTCATGAAGAAAACATGACGGGCGTTTGTCGGGCTCTGGGGACCCTCGCGGGCCCCCGGAGCCGTCAGAAAAGGATCCGGATGAACAAATTTTCTGGTCGAGATCTTTTGGGGTCGACGTTGCGAGAAAGCATGCTGTCGGGGGTTTCGATTCGGCTTCATCGTCCAAGGTAACGTATTCTGGCGTTTTCGCCAGCTCCTGAAGATTGCCCTGCCTCGGGGTGCGTTCCAGCAGCTGCTACCCGCCGAGAGCGTTCTGGGGGTGCCGGGATCGTCCCGAATGGGCGTCGGAGACCGGGTTACGATACCCAAACCAGACCATCTGCACGTAAGAGAGATCGATGCGGGTCACCGGGGTCCCCCCGCTCGCTGAGCGCGATGGGATAGTGGCTGCTCGCGCGCTTGGATTTGGCCACCTCGCGCCCCCTTGGTCCGTGCACCAGAGGCCACTGTTGCCCAGGGTCACTCTTGCGTATGGCGGAAGTGGCCCTTCGCCAGAGTGGCCGCGCCTCTGGTGCGCGGCTCTCGGGTGGGCGCAGACGTGGGCGGGCCGGGGAGGTGCAGACCCAGGCACGAAGGCCGCCACGCTGTCCCATCGCATGCCAAGGTCGGCATCGGTAATCCGCGCGCCAGAGTGCCTGCGTCGCTCTTGCGTGCAGCCGACAGTTCTTTCGAATCCCGGCCCCTGTTCCCCAATTCTGCAGGCCCTCCCCAGGGTCAGTTGTCGTGCCGCGGGGCCATCGAACATGATTCCGTGTTCGACAACTGGCTCAGGTGAGGGGGCTGGATTTTTGGGTCCATTCGAAGTCGGTACAATGCGGCTTCACTGATGTGCCTCGATGAGATGGCCAGTATGTGCATGTTTATGTATATCTATATATATGAGATATAATATGTATCTACCTGCATTCGCAGATTCACAAGGATACGCGAATGAGGTTCTTTGCGTATGGACTCGGGTGAATTCACTTGCATGGTGAGGGACGGGGGTTCGCGCAAAAGGACACTGGACTTCACGCATGTCTAGACTCACTTGCACGCAGTTTCGGCCAGGCGCTGCTCGAAATGGCGGCGGAAAATGAGGGGTGAATGCCATGCAAGGAAATTTGCCCGAGTCTGGATACAGACGCCCCCCAAAAGACTCCAAATGCAACCGTGTTCTCTCTCGTGCTGCACCTTGCCCGCCTTCCTTGTGTGGCGGCATCCACGTCTTGGCGCCAGCTGTGGAAGCAGGTGGTCAGCTCCCATCTTCCCCCCCTCCAGCACAACGAAACCTCAGATATCTCCCTCCGGCGCTTCTCCCCCGGGGCCCAGGGAGGAGGCCAGGGAAGGCCGCCCCCCCTCTTTTAAGCTGGAGGGTGGGCGAGGGGGCTGCTAGGGGGATACACCCATCTGACATCTGAAGAACACGCAGCAATCTTCATGGACTTCAAATTTGGTTTAAGAGAATCAAGATGGTCTGGACCCTGGGCGTTTTCTGTGAGCTTCTCTTCTTCGCAGGATGATCGTGTAATCGTATACCTGGGCCTGGACTGTTAATGAAACGCCTAGCGTGAAGTGTTTTTTCTTAGCCTAGCATGTTCTCAACTCTGAGCAGGATGCAAGGGGGACTTACCAGTGGATGCCAAGTGTCGGCAACGCGCAGAAGGGGGCAGGGGGAGGGGGGAAGGCTTCGCAGAAGGCCAGGGCCTTCTAAGGAGCAGCCCCCTTCTAAGAGGCCTTCAAACATCCCCCTACCCCCTTGTCCGCGCCGCAATAAGGTGGGTCAGATCCGGCAGAGCCTAGCTTATAAGTGTTGTAGCCGTTAAGTGGGCTCCGCCCACTTAACGGAAGTATCGACTCCCCCTAAGCCACTAAAGGCATATGTAACCCATGTATAAGCTAGGTTAGATCAGATATATCCCACCTTGGCATCCATTGGTACCCCCGTATCCTCTCAGCAACCCCGGTGCCCATCCCAGCAGAGAAGGAAGAGAGCGAAAGTCGACGCACGTGCAGTTTAAGGGAACCATTTGGTTATGTTAGATTTTGCCCGCTCGGACCTCGATTCTGGTCGTGTGCGCGCGTAGCCACGACGAGTGGCGCCTCCTCCTACGCCCGCCTCCCCCGCTGTCGGGGTTTGAGCGTCGATATTTTTTGTTCCGCTCCAGGAGGGATCTTGTTCTTGCGATGCAGGCCTCTCTTAGCGCAGGGGGTCCTGAAATCGAAGAAAAAACGCATGCATAAATATCAACTTTCGGAGTTGCTCGTGGATTTCCTGGATCGGCGCTGGGCCCTTGCTTGCGGCGCCTCTGGCGCCGCCTCTGGCCCTCTCTGCGCGCTCCGCGCCGATCCACGAACATGGCGCAGAGCTCCGAAAGTTTATGCATATGCTGGTTCTCTGTCCTCTGTCAAATGTACGCTAGGTGGGGCAAGGTACCAGTGACGAGGTCATCAGGCCTTGCCCATCTGAACAACAAATAAAGGGGAAGCCGGCCAGCTCCAATGATCTCCGCCCTGTCCGGTACTACAGCCACGGGTGACCGGACGCTGAGCGCGTCGCTCACCCCGACGTCGAGGTGATGAGCGTGCGTTCGTTATAGATAGAGCAATTCCATTTGCGCTTGTCCTCCTCCTCGTCCTCCTTCGTCTCAATCTGCCTTTTTTTCCCCGCTGCTCGTTATCCGCTCTGCTGCACCCCCCCCCCGCCCCAGCCATCCGCAGGAGGGGAAACAAACACACGTAAACGTAAATCGCCAGGAACGGATGGAATATATCAGAAATTGGTGGCGAAGACGAACATCCAGAAAATATCAAAAGTATTGGGACTCTTGGGATTTGTATATATATATATATATATATATATATATATATATGCTCGTGTGCCCCTGGGCCACCGCAGCACTCCCCATGTCCCCTCAGTTCAAGTTCCTCTCCCACCCTGCCCCGTCTTTCCCTTCCGCTCCTCTTCCCCTCCTCCTCCTCCTCCTCCTCCTCCTCCTCCTTCTCCTTCTCCTCGTCCTCCTCCTCTCCTCCCACTTTCCCCATCCTCCGCCGCCTCCTCCACCTCCTCTCCTCCTCCTCCCTCCTGCCTCCTCCTCACTCCGCCTCCTCCCCCTCTCCCCCCTTCCCCTCATCTCCTTCTCCTCCGCCTCTTCGCACCGCGATGGGATGCCGATTCCGCTTCCGACTCCTTCTCCTCCTGCCTCCTCCTCCTTCCTCCTCCTCCTCCTCCCAACTCCAACTCTTACTCTCACTCTACTCTATTCTCCCATCCTCCTCTTCCTCCCCCTCCTTCCCCTCCTCCTCCTCCTCCTCCTTCTCCTCCTCTCCCGCGTCTTCCTCCTCCTCTCCCGTTCCCTTCCCCTCTCCGTTCTCTCCTCCATTGCCTCATCTGCCTCCCGCCCTAGCCCCGTTACATCCTTGTCCTCCCCTCTCACCGTACCCCCTCGGCGTCCCCTCTCCCCCTCCTCTTCCTCCTCCTCTCCTCCTCCTCCTCCTCCACTTCCTCCTCCTCCTCCTCCTCCTCCTCCTCCTCCCCCTCCTCCTCCTCCTCCTCCTCCTCCTCCTCCTCCTTCTCCCCCTCCTCCCTCCTCGGCTGGTCGGGGTCCTCGTCACCCCGCAAGTACCCCCAGTCATTCCAGGAGCAAGTGCAAGCCAGGCTCGACGCTCTCAACTCCGACGTGCAAAGCGACCTCCGCCAGGCCCAGAAGGCGTTCCACTCCAGCATCAGAAAGGTACAGTAGAGATTTTTCCGCCAGCGAGATGGAGGTGACGGGCCTTGTGGAGAAGCGCTTCGGTGCCGTCGAGTCTCGATCGTGTGTTCTGGAGGGCCGGATGGCCGATCACGATAATGAGATGGCCGTGCTCTTGGGTGAGATCGGCCACCTTCAAGCGCAGGTGCTGGCCGCCTCCAGCGCCGAGCCGGGGCCTCCCATTGGATGGCCCGCGTGGGATCGCGACCCCGACCACACTGCCATCGTCGTCCGCGCCAAGCAGACCACCCCCATGCTGATGGCGTTTCCTCCACGCTTGTTGTGCCTACGCCTGAACGGTCAGACAGTTGTAGATTTTGTCCAAGCAGAATCCATCGTCGTCTTCCTCTTGCTCCTCCTGCCCCTCCTCCTTCTTCGAGTCCGTTTTCCAGTCCGCCCTGTTCCCATGTTTGTCCTCCTCCTCTTCTCCCCTCCTCTTTCGCCTCCCCCTCCTCATCATCACCATTATCATCAGCAGCATCATCAGCAGCATACTCATCCCAATCGTCTTTGATATTAGCACCACTACCATCATCATATACCCAGTCGCATCGACTTCATCATCCCCGTCATCAGTATGATCACCATCGTCATCACCATCGTCATCATCATAATCATAATCATAATCATCATAATTATCATCATCACCATCATCAGCATCATCATCATCATCATCATCATCATCATCATCATCATCGTTATCATCATTACTGGTATACTCATCAGCATCATCATTATCAGCATCATCATCATCATCATCATCAATGCCCTTGCCCTCATCATCATCAGCAGCATCATCATCACAATCAGCAGCATCACCGCCACCATCACTTGCACCATCATGCTAATCATTTCTATCAGCATCAGCATCAGCAGCATCATCATCGTCAGCATCATCAGCATTATCACCATCCGCATCAGCATCATCACCTTTATCATCAACACCATCATCGTCATCATCATAATCATCGCCATCGTCATCACTGTCATCACTGTCATCATCGTCATCATCGCCATCATCGTGATCATCGTCATCGTAATCGTCATCGCCATCAGCATCGTCATCACCATAATCATGTGTGTCCATCTCCTTGTTCACCTCAATCATCGACTTCCTTCCCGCCCTCCACCATCCATCACCTTTTTTCCTTGTTCCACCCTCCTCCTCGTCATCCTCATTCCCTTCGCTATGGTCCTCATGTGTCTCCCGTGTCGTCCTCATCCTGTTTCTCCTCCTCTTCCTCCTCCTCCTCCTCCTCCTCCTCCTCCTCCCTCTGCTGCTGATCTGCCCTGCTGCTGATCTGCCCTCCTCCTCTCTATATCCACCCTGCTGCTAATCTGCCCTCCCCCTTCCGCCATGGTTGGGTTGATCATCCTTCACCCCTCCTCGCCCCCCCTCCCCCCCGTTCTCCTCCACCTACTGCTCCTCCGCCACGTCCGCCTCTCGCCTTGCCCTGTTTGTCCACCTCATGCTTCTGTTCGCCCCCCTCCTCCCCCGTTGTGCCCCTCTCCTGGTGGTCATCCTCCTGCCCCCACCGCGAGAGAGATGGGCGAGCAGCATGCGGGATGAGGCGGAGGAGGGCGAGACGGGGGAGGATAAGGAGGAGGACGAAGAAAAGGAAGGTGAGAAGTTCGAAGAAGGAGGAGGGGGAGGAGGAGGAGGAGGAGGAGGAGGAGGAGGAGGAGGAGGAGGAGGAGGAAGAGCAGCAGCAGCAGCAGCAGCAGCGGGCACTCGAGATGGATGCGGGATCAGGAGGGGTGGGGGCAGCAGGCGGGGTCAGGGAGGCAGGGGAGGAGGAGGGAAGAGCAAGAACATGAGGACAGGGTGGGAGGAGGGGGGAGGTGAAGAGGGAGGGAGATACACAAGTGAGGAGGACGTGGAGTAATGGGGACATGGAGGAGGGAGGAGGTGGAGATAGAGGGAGGTACAGGAGTGAGGAGGACGTGGAGTGATGGGGACATCGAGGAGGGAGGAGATGGAGAGGGAGGGAAATATTGGCGTGAGGAGGACGTGAAATGCTGCTGACGGCGACGACGACGACGACGACAACGACAACGACAACGCCATTCATTTCAAGACTGTTCGTTCTTATCTGCCCGGGTACATTTCAACACGTGTATGCCAAACTTTCGACACCCGCCTTCTTCGTCTTCGATCGTATCCCCCTTGGGTGTATATCGTCCTTACCTCTCACGTTTAGTTGGCGCGGCCCCTAAAACAGGGGAATGAAGGGAGGAGGGAAGAGACTAGGGCGAGGGAGAAGGATGGAGCACGAGATGGATTTGCAGGAGGAGGGTTAGGAGCAGGACTGCAAGCGGAAGATCCAGACGGGTGGGTCGGGCGGGTGGACCCTAATCGGCAGGTCGGGCGGGCGGGCTCAAACGGTTGGGTCGAGCGGGTGGGTCATTGAAGCGTCATTCCAACATGTGTCGCAAGGAAGTTTCGAGCGATAGCGCGATCCCCAAGTAAATCGTAGGGAAAACGAGTGCGAGGGCTTGATTCTTGAGTGTTTGGGGCATGGCACAGCAATACATTTGAGGAAGTGCCACGCGACAGGGCGCATCTTGCATGAGAGCGCCATGTTGGTTACATTGTGAATAAGTGTCAGGCGGGGGCCGTTGTTGTTGGAGCCCCGTGCCCAACAGCGCTGAGGTCCAAGATCCTGGGATGACCACTTTTATTGAAAACCACAATGGGCACTGAAGAGGTGGGCTCAACACACATGTTTTTGGAAAGTCATATTTCGACAGCGACGACGATAAGCGACAGAAGCAGGCGCAGGGCTGGAGGAGCGGGAGGCTTGCTTCGAGGGAGCATGCAGGAGGAGGATTGGGGAGGAGGAGGAGGCGGAGGAGGAGACATGACGACGGAGGGGGGGGAGGAAGGACATGGAGGACCACCGATGGATGGAGGACCAGGTGGGGAAGGGGCACGTGTACAGTCGGACCTAGGCCAGAGGAGCATCGGCCAAAAACACGATACCCTCCGCCGGCCAACACGCACAGAACGTCCAAGAGTAGCGCCCCCAGGGTGCACGAGAGCATCCGACAAACACGAAGAACACGAGGGCACCCTCCCCGAACCGACCTCGATCTGATACCTCGGTCCGACTGCACACATTGTTAATGTCGAATTATTCGAAAGTTCATTGTTTTTGTTGGGAGGCGAGATCCTTCCATTGCTAAGTACTATATCCTGGGCCTCTTCCTGGCCACTGGGGGGCCAGGAACAATTAGAAACGAGCATGATTAGAAATGAACACGATTAGACATGAACGACGTGTACCTCGGTCCGACTCTACAATACGCAGAGCGCGCTCGGACCCCCCCCCCACGCGCCCCTTCCAGCGCTCCCTCCGAGGAGACTGCCGGCCTGCGGGCCGCCCTGGCCTCCCTGGCGGAGAGGGCGCGGGAGCTGGAGGAGACAGGGGTCCGCAGGGGGGGGGGGAGGCAGGAGGGAGGGAGGGAGGGAGGGATGACGGGGGAGGAGGAGGAAAAGGAGGAGAAAGAGGAGGTGGAGGAGGAGGAGGAGGAGGAGGAGGAGGAGGAGGCGGAGGAGGAGGAGGAGGAGGGGAGAGCAGGACGTGTGAGAAGGATGGGGGAGGCGGAGGAGGCGAAGGAGGAGGAGGAGGATGGAGGTGGAGGAGGAGGAGGAGGAGGAAGAGGAGGGGAAGGGAGAGGGGGGGCTCCCCGTTTTGTCGTGTGTCACCCCGTCGAGGCTGGCACCTGCATGCCGACCTTCCCCCCCACCACACCAATCATTGCAGCGGAGGTTGTTCTTATTGAATCGCTTCGCTCATTCCGCCGGCCCATTTCGCATGACTGAGCCTCTTGGGGCCGCTGGGGGGCCTCTTCAGCGTCGCTCGGGGGCCTCCTGAGGGCCTCTTGGGGGCTTTTGGGGCCTCTCAGGGGCCTCTTGAGGCCTCCTGGGGGCTTCTTAAGGCCGAGGGCTCGAAGTGTTGTTTTGTGTTCCCCCTTTGGGGCATCGCTTGGGGCCCTCTTGGGCCCCTCTTGGGCCGTCTTGGATGCCTCTGGGGCCGTCTTGGAGCCCTCTTGGGCCATCTTGGGGCCTTCTTGGGAGCTTCTTGGGCCCTCTTGGGGCGATCTTGGGGGCCTCTTGGGCCATCTTGGTGCGTCGGGAAGCCGAAAAGATGGACACGCCGAAATCTGCCCAAAACCTAAGGAAAAGTAATGAATTTTGCCTCTTGGGGCCCTCTGGGGAGTGCTCTTGGAGGCCTCTTGGGGCTTCTGGGGGCCATCTTGGGCGTCTTGGAACGATCGTGTTGCATCTCGGAGCACTCTTCAACCATCTTGGAGGGCTCTTGGCGGCCTCGTGGCCCTTCTTGGGGCTCTCTGGAGGGCCACGGGGGCGGCGCCCAGGAGGAAAACCATCTCTGACCCGAGTCTGCCAGGGATCGCCCGGGGTACTTTTCGTCCGGGGACCCCCAGGGGCCGCCCCGCGCGCGCGAAGTAGAAGTATTATTTAGCAGTTACCGGAGATCTAAGCACGCCTCTGGCCCGTTGGGCCGGCGAATTATGGTCGTTCACGGCTGGCGAAACGTGCCATTACCGGCACGTGCGCGGGTCGTAGTACTCGTAGTTTTCAGTCCGTGGCTCTTGCTC